GCCTAGCGAGGGGATACTCGTACTCTCTACACAGGTGGAGGCAACCGGAATACCCGGTGTGCTTCACTCAGGTGAAGGTGACCGGAGTCTCTCCGGCACACTTCACTCAGGTGAAGATAACCGGAAGAGGTTTCTCCCGGGGCTCGATCCAAGAACAGCGCAATGGCTAGCCACTCTGCGACTATCTTTGAGCATGAAGGAGGAGATGATGACTACCTCCTCCACGAAAATGAATCTTTCGCGACTAATCATCGTCATCTCAATGAATTACACCGTCTTTCAGCTTTCCAGCAGGTGACCACAAAAGTACCTCCATCTTATGATGGTAGAAGCAGTTGGTTTGCCTATGAAGATGCGATCGATGACTGGTGTGACATTACTGAGCTAGACAATGATAAGCGTGGACCAGCTTTGAGAAATCGGCTAGAAGGTGAAGCAGCAATCCACAAGAGACTTCTCGACAGAGATCGCCTGAAGGACCCGAACAACGGAGTGAAGTACTTCAAGAGTTTCCTGCGGCCGCTTTTCGTGAAGGGAGCAGCGAATGTTTTTCTCTATCGCTTCCAGCAGTTCATGAACATGCACCGTGGGAACGGAGACATGCTTCGTTGGATTACCAGGTTTCAACTCTCTGTTCAGAGAATGCAAGAAGCGTGGAACGATACCTATCTGCCGATCGAGGACCCGAACAATGCAGAGGTCAGAGCCTTCATAGTAGGACTTCCTCCAGAAGAACAAGAAAACCTTACGCCAGCTCAGGCAATGGAGAGAGCCAACGAACGGCTCAGAGAGCAGCATGCTCGGACCATTCCGATCACGCCCAACCTGGTCGCTTTGATCTTTGTGTCCCTGTCTGATCTGACACAGGATCAGCGTCAGGTGTTGACATCACTGATGGCGCATCGGAACCGAGTCCTGGCTGACTACAACACGGCCGAGCTTCGCGAAGTCTACCTGGAGATCTTCTGTACGACCAAGACTACCGTCGACAATCCACTCCTCGCTCCTTCCGGCCACGGTGGCCGCAAGACCTTCCTTGTGATCGATGAAGGATATTTGAACGATCATGAAGGCTACTGGGTCGAGGACGAGGAAGATGGCACCGAAGGTTTCCTCGAAGCGGATGAGGACGCCTTCTGGGTCTACGACGACGAGAACTATTCATGGTTCCAGCGGCGCTTCCAAGGCCGCAAGATGAGGCGCGGATTCAAGGGCCACCGTAAAGGCAAAGGAAAAGGTGGCAAAGGATCCAAAGGAAGGCGCTTCTTCAAAAGGAAGAAAGGCAGGTCACATCTTGCCGAAGAATCAGAAGCATGGCAAGCAGAAGGACAATGGCAAGATTACCAGTGGAGCGATCAGTCCTGGGATGACTGGTCCTGGTACGAGTCTGAGGAATCCTATGCAGCCAAAGGAAAAGGAAAGAAAGGAAAGAAGGGCAAAGGAAAGAGCAAGTTTGGCAAGGATGGAAAAGATGGAAAGTCCGGAAAAGACGGACAGAGCCAGCTTGCTGATGCTGCCCCGAGCGGCACCACAGCCGCCACAACCTTCTTCGTTGAACATCTCAACACTCCGAACTTTTCTTTCATGGCCACCGAAGAGAAGATCAATGAGATCGAGGAAGCCTTCATCTCTCAGCCCTTGACGCCGACCGCGATGGTGTTGGACTTGGGATGCACGAGAGCAATGGCTTCGAGAGTGGCCGCACAGGACCTCATGGAGTTCTGTGACAAGAACCAGAACTGTGGCATATGGTACACCATTGCTGAGACCACTTCTCAGTTCACCTTTGCCAATTCCGAGTCTACCAAATGCAACCAGAAGTTGGTCATTTGCATGTACGACCGGGACTTTGCAGTTCAATCCACAGAGTTCGACATTGTGGAACAAGGGCATGTTCCCATTCTCATGTCCTTACCTCAGATGCGCAATCTTCGTTTCCAGTTCGAGCTCCATCCGGAAAGGCCTTGCTCAGCAGCCCTGTGCTGGGAATCAAGGATGTGAGGCTGAAGGTTGCACCCAGCTCACACTTGGTACTTGATCTTCTTGAACTCAGTCAGCTGATGTGGAATGTGCGTTTCAGCAAGCATAAGAAGTCGAGCTTCCTCACCTACTTCTCCCACTACGAGTACGGCTTCCATCAGAAGACCGAGGGATGCTGTTCTCATGAACAGGTACCTGACAATCTCGTGTTGGCGACTGATGATGAATGGGTGATCAACGAAGCCGACATGGAAATGATTCGCATCCACAAGAAGATGAGAAGAGTCAAGTACGAACCCAAGGCGGGTTATGTGCCAATTCCGTTGGAGTATCTGGACACCAAGCGCAAGACGATCATGGAGTTCTCCAAGGGAAAGAGCGTTACTCAAGAAGATGACTGGCGTTCTTCTGAGCTTTCTTCAACAAGAACTACTGACTCTTGGAAAGGCAAGACCATTTTCAAGATTCTGCCTGGTGGCATCGAGAGTAGAACCTCGGTGCCAGCCAAGTCCAAGGATCC